TGTACAGTAGCATCAAAGGTAACTGCTATCATCAATTCGAAAAAACATGACAATTTAGGAAAATCCTGCCTGGTAGTCCACAACTATATCTATATATATATAATAAAGCATTTTTTTACCTGGTAGAGCCATGCTTCAGCTATATATTTCTAGCATAAACGGGTCGTCTCAACCGGGGAAGGACCACGCTTTCACAAAATACCAGCGTTAAATAGCAGCATAATGCTGCTGTGTTTCGTATGGTGAGTGTAGAGAACCGGAGATTCTTTTTATTGAAGACGAGGCATTCCATCTTTGTCCTCAAGACTGACACAACGCATCTGCATTTTGAGTTTTAATCGAGGAATGATGTAGATGTCTATGTGCCACAACATCCGCTTATCATCAGGTGGATTGTGTACTCGTTTGTCTATCTTATTGTATAAAATAAATTGATTGAAAGATCCCCCATTATCATTACAGTCTACAACTGAATATTCACTTTTTTCTACAAAGTTTGCTACAAAACTTCTAACTTTTATAAGTTCCACGAACTAAATGACTGGTCCATTGCCACATTGTCTTGAATCGTTGGGATGCGTCATTTATTTTGATTCTACTAAAAATATCCTAGCTTTCTTTATAGCTCGCAGAACTACTTTCAACTTTTTTCAACGGCTTAGTCATCATCTTACATAGTTTCAACCACAGACTATACTGGCGTACCTACGTCTATGGTTTCAACAATTGAGAACTTAAGTAAGGTAAAGTAAGTAAGCTTACGTAATTGAAACAAAGCGTCAGATTTTTACACATTTCATTTATTCATCGAAATGACCTTACGTTCTTGCATTTTGCTTAAATTTGGTTTAATTCAATAAATATATTACAATTCTATAGATATTAAGTACAAGTAAGTACGGTGTTGGGCTTCTTATCGATTTACTATACAATTACATCTTCAAGCCAGATCGTAAACAGCTCAAATATATTACAATGGTGTGTCAGCTAAAGTGGAAATGATAATCAAACTATTTTCTTGTAGTAGAATAAATAAACTATGGATCGAATATATCACCAATAATCAAAGTTTATCGGATGTATTTACAATTTGTGGGTTGCCAGTTGCCTAAATTTTATAGGCTTTTGAGTGCCTTTTAAGTACAGGTTTAGTGTTGCCAACGATATTCATTTTGTTATTAATTTTTTTTTATTGAATAAATCAAAAAGTTTGTTGTTGAATTTTCTTTATCATTACTCACAACCTCGATGACGTTTTGAATTATTGAATTATACGAGCAAAATTAGGCTGAAGTAAGTTTAGCTAGCTTTGTAAAAAAATTAGTTATGTGTCATAATGCTGCGTCATAAACGCAACTGAACAAGTTGTTTCTGGCAACATTTCAAGTAACATCGCGGCGGCTCATTTATTTTAAATGGTAATTTGTATTTTTAAAAACCTATAGTAAGTTCTAATTTATACCATATAATATTTTATGTAAATATGAGGGAAGAATATTTTCAATAAATTTTGATTATTAAACAATTTGCGTACACTAAAATAAGTACATATCTTCCGCATTTAGAAGAGATCAAGTCTTTTGGAATGTTTTCGATGTATTTTTTCGTTAAAGTAACTATCAAATGATGTTTTATAATAATATTGCAGTAATAAAGCACATTTACAAGTTTCGTTGATGTTTCGATAAAGTTGTAATTCGAGCTGTTTTGGGAAAGCTTTTAATTCTGATTAAACAAAAGATAAAATGCTGTCATTAATTTACATGTTTATCGAAAATAAAATATATTTCAATGTTATTTTAACATTTTCAATATAGGTAATATAGCAACACCGAGAGACCATATCAGTAAAGTGTTCCCTCTCTTTCATTAAAGTCGCGTCACATAGGTACAAACTTTACATAATTCAATTCCTTAATTTTAATAATAACATAGTCACATTGCACCTATATTAAATTTTACAAGAAAATAATTTACAAGTTGGTCATTCTCAAAGACAACAAGCCAACTGTCTCAGGAGAATTTACAAGGAGTTTATTCGAAAAGAGATTCGTCTTGATTCTTTTAAAGAAATTGCTCATAAATAAAACAATTAAGTAGTTTTATTTTTTACTTTTAAGCTTACCAGTTGAACTATTCTGATCATTTAATGACAAGGTAACAGTAACACGCTACTTAGTCACTCCAGCGCTTTCAAATCCCTCGACGTTTCTCTTTCTGAACGGACTCTATTCTCTTAGGTACATAAATGTTTCGATAGGCATTCAACACTTGTTTAAATTATATATATTTATATATAATTTAGTACCTATTTGACACTACACTAGTTTGATTTACATTGTCTTAGTGACGTATTACTTAACTTACATAATATTAAGAGCACAACGAGACTACAGTGTAAATAACACTGCGGATCACTTAGGTACTGTATAAGGCAGGCTTTGGTTTACGAGCCTCTCATTAATAAGGTGTTTTTTTATTAATTTACCTTTGATTTATTAAATGAAGGTATTGTGAGATTTATAATTGTATGTTTTGTTTTCGACTATATAAAATGACTTAATAATTAGTTGAATTTCAAAGGGTTTTATTTTAATTTTAAAATAAATAAACTTTTAGACTAATATACTGAAAATGTCTTAGTCAATTAGTTGTTCGTGAGTCCGCCGGGTTACTTACTCTGTGGTATACAATAAATTTAAGTGCGGGTGAACTTTGTACAACGCTGACACAACTTGCTAAATGGATAAATACTTAACTAAACGTATTGCACGAAAACTGGGAGTGGAAACGCTACCCGGGATCACACACGCAACATCCTTACGTAAGGGAGACGTGCATGTATATCCACTATCTTACATTAATATTTATAAATGAATAGGCAAGTAGTAACGTAAATTTTAAAAATAGACTTTATTTACATTTATATTTGCTTATTTTTTATAATAGCTAATCATACGTTTTCCAAGGAAATTTCAAATGATTTCTCATTATAATTACAATCGTTGTAACTTTTTTTAAAGTTATGTGTAATGATCATGTAGTGTTGTGATTTATTTTATAGATCACTATTTTCTATCAACATTTGCCTTAAAAGTCAGTCAATTAAGAATTTTGACAATTACAAATAACAGCTCTCAAATTTCATGCGCCAATTATTGACACATGCGTTCGGATATTAGTCCAGGAAATGAAGCATTTTGGCTCGCAATTTTTCCGTCCACCGTTCACAGAAGGTAGGGAATAGCTCAAGGATCATTGTCTATATGATGCCGCTGTACGCTGGAGCCTTGGAGGTGGTTGCCACCCCATCTCGAGAGTGGAAATTTTTTACTACATTTTAACTATAGGAATCGACGGAAAAAGTAATTGTAAGAAAAAAATATTATATACGTTTTTTTCGTAAAACTAATATTTTTTGAGTTATTCAAAATTGAAAGTAACAATAATCTTTAAAAGTTAAATCGACTTTTTTAAATGTTTTTTTGCGAATAACTCTAAAAATAAGCATTTTATCAAAAACAGTGTAGAGAGCCAAATTGTAGCTTTTAAAAAAACAAAAACAATGCTTTTTTTATAATTTTTCTACAACAAATACGAACTGAGATACAGCAAATTAATGCTTAGCTTTTTTTCGTCAAATGCATAAATTGGAAGATTTAAAGTGAAATAACGAGAAAAATTTGCATTATTCGAAGAAAGCTCATAGAATCTTTTTAAAAGTATTTAATTAGAGCTTTCAAACAAAAACAAAAAAATGTCTCTAGCATGAAAATTGACCGACTTATGATCAAAATAAGATAGGTACCCGCTTTTTTTTTACGAAAATAATCTGTGAAAACAACCCCCAAAGTACCCCCTAATTAAAATTAATCGCCACCCTTTTGTGATTCTCTTTATCGAAGTTTGACCAATTTAAAATGCCTAATTTAAAAAAAATGGAGTTTAAAGAGAAAACTATTTATTTTCAATTTCGTGTTTTAACCCTCTTAAAAATATCTCTCAAAATACTAAGAATATTCGGCGAGATATAGCCGTTTAACACCTACATTTACGATCGAACATCACCTTATTCAAGCACTTTAAACTCTCCCTATTTAAAAATTAAGGGATCTTAAGTAATTTAATTCACATAGTCTTATACCTCCTGAAAAGCTCTACAAAATAGTTTCTGAAAAAAAATTCTATCACTTAAAATGAAGGAGCTATGTTTAAAAAAACGATCAATTTTTTTTCGAATAATTCGAATTACCCGCTTCGGGGCGTAGTAATTTACATAACCGGTCTATTCGGTCGTTATACGTTATATGTTCCACTTTTTCGATTCTTATTGGAAGACGGAGAAGAAGAAACATTTGCTCATGTGTATGAGTGTATATTTCGTTGATTTCTTACCAGTGTATTCTAAAGTTCGAAGACAGTAGCACGTGCTCTGACAATTTCAATGTTTTCAAGGGTAGTTTTTAACAAGGGTAGGTTGAAAGATTATGAAATTGTATCCTAAAGTATGAAACAATCATTATTTAACTATTTGTACCCATATTTAGGTTTTAATGTTATTTTATAATTTTTGACAATAAGGGGTAGTTTTCACCCCTAAAAAACAAAAAGCGTACAACGGCACAGTGTAGAAAATGAACTAGAGGGTGAAATAAGCCTAATCCCAAATTTTTGTACAAATCGGTGCTGGACGAAAAAAATGCGTGGTTTTATCATTTTTTTTAGCTTCATTTCCTGGACTATATTTATCTATGTAACAATTTTTATAATCACACAGAAGTTTCAAATTTTACAAAGAACACTTTTTCGAAACTAGCGAATAATTACGGTTAATTACTAAACATTTTTATTTGATGCTGTGATTTATTATTTTCAAAGATTTACAAAAGTTTGTTTGTGTCCTTTCGTGTAATCGTATAGGTTGATCGTACGGTTGATCAAGGAGCGGAGGGGATTCAGTTGGCGAAGTATCGGATGGCGTGCGCCGGCGCGTCGTGCGGTCAGTAGAGGCGCGCGGGCGGCGGCGCCTCCGTGCCCACGTCGATGTCCAGCGGACTCTCCTCCTCGCTGCCGGCACCCGCCCCCGCCCCCGCACCCGCCCCCGCACCCGCACCCGCTCCCCCCATCATCCCTGCACCCATCCCGCTCGCTCGATGCAGTCCGCGCACCTGAACGCAAATAGTATCTTCTGTGACCAAGTCGAAAATCATAACATAACAGTTAATATTTTTATAGAAGAGAGACAATCGAGCACACCGTTCGCCTGATAATAAGTGGATGCTGTCGCTCATAGACATTATTTTATAGGAATGCGCATGCGGCTCACCTGATGGTAAGTGACCACTGGCGCCCATGAACAACTGCAACTGAATTGCATATACGTTGTCGGCTTTTTAAAAAGCAGTAGACTCTTTTCTTAAGGGTCTTAAATCGTATCTAAACATCTACATTTATCCTCGATTATGAATAAAAATGCAGAATGCGTTGTCACTCCTGAGGACTAAGATGGAATCCAGTATCCAATAAAAAAAGCAAGGATGTGCTGTTAGAGAACCGGACATCCTTGCTTTTTTATTGTAGAGACACTCACCATACAAAACACAGCAGCATTGAGATGCTATTTTACGCTGGTATTCTGTGAGAGCATTCCCCGTGTAGTGGCAGGAAAGAATACTCACTACCCCAAATCTTCCCGTGGGTGTCTTAAGAGGAGACGGAGGGAAACTAAGGCAGAGGATGGGCAGCAGCATCTTTCGGATAATAGCAAAAGAACAATAAAAAAACTGCGGTTTCCAACCCGCTCGCCAACTATGACAATATACCCCCCATGAGAGTAACGAAGAGACGGCCCCCAGTTCCCAGCGGCCCCGCTATTCCTAGCTACGGTGGCGACCATGGTAACGGCGGGGCAGGGAGTGCTAAGAATCTCCGGTGGAGGTTCGGTTGCCACCTACGACGACTCGACTTGGCAACTTATAACGCACGCACCCTCAGGACTGACGAGAAGATCCTGGAGCTGGAAGAAGAGATAGACAAGTTGGGCTGGAATATCATAGGATTATCCGAGGTCCGAAAAGAGGAGGAGGACACGGTAATCCTCGAATCCGGCAACTTCTTCTATCACCGGGAGGGCGACCATCTGTCCCAAGGAGGTGTCGAATTTATCGTCCACAAGTCACTCATGAACAACGTTGTAAAGATTGGGAGTGTGTTGACGAGGGTTGCGTACCTTATACTCAGAATCACCAAACGGTATTCGCTAAAGGTCATACTGGTTTACGCACCAACCTCGGCATACCCATATAAGGAGGTGGAGGAAATGTATGAGGATATCTCTAGAGTAATGCATTCCTCCAAAACCCACTATACGGTGTTAATGGGAGACTTCAACGCAAAACTAGGCACAATAGAGAACGGTGAGCTGAAAGTAGGGAAATTCGGAATAGGTCAACGGAACCCAAGGAGCCAGCAGCTGGCAGACGTCATGGAGAAAGAGGGACTCTTTATGATGAACTCTTTCTTTCAGAAGCGGCCCCACAGGAAGTGGACCTGATCGAGCCCCGACGGTTTGACAAAAAATGAGATTGACTTCATTATGACGACCAGACGACAACTGTTCAGTGATGTCTCAGTGGTCGCGAGGGTGAAAACCGGCAGCGGTCACCGAATGGTGAAAAGCACAGTGAACCTAAACGTTAAGTTGGAGAGGTCACGTCTAATGAAGTCAATACTCCGTCCCCTTCGTGCTCTAATCCAAAGTCCCGAAACCTTTCAGCTTAAGCTACGAAACCATTTTCAGTGCCAAGAAGATTGCAATGCAGTGGACGATATGAATGACAAGCTCGTGGAAACTGTCCATGCGGTCGGAGCTAAGTTTTGCACGACCCGCCGCAGAAGAACACAAAAACTCTCCGATCACACTCTTAATCTAATGGCTGTTAGACGGGGTATGAAGCTGCAGTCTTCAGTAGATTTGACAGCATACAGCCAACTGAACATACATATCTCCAAATGCATGCGGTGGGACTTACGCAACTTTAATACAGCTCGTATTGAAGAAGCGATCGAGCGGAACCAGGGTTCCAAAGTCTTTGCTAAAGATCTGTCTGCCAGAAAGAGCCAACTTTCGAAGCTGAAGACTGAGTGTGGCAGCGTTATTTCCGGGACAACTGAGATTTTGAGTGAGATTGAGAGGTTCTATGGGCAGCTGTACACATCATCGTTGGAGCCACACGCAAGTGTGAATAACGATCCAAGAGCGAGTCTAATCCGACATTATTCCGATGATATCCCGGACGTTAGTCTGAGCGAGATTAGAATGGCTCTCCAGCACCTTAAGAACGGCAAGGCCCCAGGCGAGGATGGAATTACAGCGAAGCTTCTGAAAGCGGGTGGAAAACCGGTACTTCAAGTCCTTCAGAAGCTCTTTAATTCCGTCCTCCAATGCCACCAACATTACACCGGAGGCGTGGAGCAGAAGTGCGGTGGTGTTGTTCTTCAAGAAAGGCGACAACGCTCTCTTGAAGAACTACAGACCGATTTCCCTTCTGAGCCGCGTCTACGTGCTGTTTTTGAGAGTCATTTTGAATCGTCTCGCGCGCAGACTTGACGACTTCCAGCTTCCCGAACAAGCCGGTTTCCGAAAAGGCTTTAGGAACACAGACCACATACATACCTTTCGGAATATTGTAGAGAAGTCCGAGGAGTACAATTTGCCACTATGTCTGGCGTATGTGGACTATGAGAAAGCCTTTGATTCCTTCGAAATTTGGGCGGTGATGCAGTCCCTTCAGCGGTGCCAAGTTGACTGTCGGTATATCGAAGTGTTGAAGTGCTTGTACAGTAGGGCTACGATGGCTATCCGAGTACAGAACCAGAGTACGAAACCTATCCAATTGCAGAGAGGTGTAAGACAGGGTGACGTCTTATCCCCGAAACTCTTCACCGCTGCATTGGAAGACGTTTTCAAGCTTCTGGACTGGAAATGATACGCTATCAACATCAATGGCGAGTACATCACTCACCTTTGATATGCCGACGATATAGTCCTTATGGCAGAATCGCTGGAGGACCTAAGCACTATGCTCAATGACCTCAATAGTGTTTCCAATGGATAGGTCTTAAGATGAACATGGACAAAACAAAGATCATGTTAAATGTCCATGTTACACCTATGCCGGTAGTTGGTGGGAGCACTAAGCTCGAAGTTGTTGACGAGTATATTTACCTGGGACAAATAGTCCGACTAGGTAAGTCCAACTTTGACCGAGAGGTCAATCGACGGATTTAACTCGGTTGGTCAGCGTTTGGGAAATTACGGCACATCTTCTCGTCAGGTACACCTCAAAACTTGAAAACGAGACTGTACAACCGGTGTGTGTTGCCAGTGATGACCTATGGAAGTGAGACGTGGTTCTTCACTGCTGGCTGGATGAGGAAGCTCAAGGTCGCTCAGCGAGTTATGGAAAGGGCTATGCTCGGAGTTTCTCTGCGTGATAAACTTAGAATTGAGGATATCCGCAGTAGAACCAGAGTGACCGACATAGCCCAACGGATTAGTAACCTGAAGTGGCATTGGGCCGGCCATATAGCTCGAAGAACCGACAACCGATGGCGAAAAAAGGTTCTCGAGTGGCAGCCTCGTACCGGCAGGCAAAGTGTAGGGCGTCCCCCCACTAGATGGAGTGACGACCTGGTAAGGCATGCAGGAAGTCGACGGATGCAGGTGGCTCAGGACCGTACTTGGAGGCATTCCTTGGGGGAGGCCTATGTTCAGCAGTGGACTTGTGAATGGCTGTAATGATGATGATGATGATTCTGTGAGAGCGTGGTCCTTCCCCGGTCGAGCCAATATATTTGTGCTATAGCCATAATATAGCTGCAGCACGAATCTACCGTGAACGAGTACATCAAAATTAAAATCATGGTGAGATATAAGTTGATACTATAAGTATACGTTGTACTATAAGTATACAGTGTGTATAAGTATACATACAGAGATGTTGATAAACCAATAAGATAAATCGATTACGCCAGTAAAAAGTATGCTTTTGTTATCACTTCGTATGACTTGAGGTCGGTAGTCACTAGTGCCGCCGTATTAAGAAGACAAGCAAACATAATCCGCGCTATCAATAGAGTAAGTCTACAAGCTACAAACAGTTAATCAATAAAGCTCATCTCTATCATCATCATTATCGTCACTAATCACCATGTAAAGTCTACTGCTATATAATATAGGTCTCCCTCGGAGATCGCCTCATAAGGGGATATTTGCCATAGTTGCCACGCTTGGCAGGCGAGTTGTTAACCGCAGTTTTTTTTATTATTGAGTTTTTATCAGGAAGATGCTGTTGCTTATCTCCTTTTCAGTCCTATAGCCTGTTATGACGATGGAATTATTAATGGATTAGTAGATTAAATAACGCCGCCACTACACGCACACGCACATGTGTTGTCTATATATCTCGCACAGTCACATTGAGCAAAACTTTGCCGAATCTCAAGTTCGATTATTAACAATTAAAAATTTAAATATTTAAGTTGATTAGATACGGAATTAATACGCAAATAAATAATTATTGTACACCAGATATACATATGAGAGAGAGAGAGAGAGAGAGAGAGAGAGAGAGAGAGAGAGAGAGAAGAAAACATAAATTATTAAGTGGCGAAGCTTGCGAAGTCACTTATTGATTTCACGATGTCTGTCCGTCTGTCCGTCTGTCCGGCTGTCCGTCTGTCCGCCTGTCCCACGATTATCTCGAAAACGGTTTTGTATTTTCAAATTCTGTTTTCAGCAATCGATTACTGATCACCCAGGCATCTGAACCTCCTATTTTGAAACTGATTGCTCAACGGCAACCGTTAGAAACCGCTACAAAGCTGATTGCTTCGCCACTTTGCTATGCTGTTAGCTTGCTAGGTTTATTTAAAGGTGCAATTGGCGGCCTTATCGCAACCATTGCAGAGGATAAAGTGACCTCTGACAAATGGTAAGAATGTACGTAGGTTGTTGGAAAATACACACGACATACATATCAATATATACTCAATAAATACGTACATACTATAATAAATAAATACATTTTAAATACAAAAATATAGACATACATATACGAGAGCAGTAATGTAACAAGTAAGTGTAATCAAAGTCTTATTAACGTAAGGAAAAATGAGTGGGTAGTATTTTTTTAGAGGAATGACTATTTAATGAGGAAAAGAGTGCGCTTTGACAAGTTTTTTCTTTTCACATGACTGCGCACTTATAATGTGCAGCGGTAGGAAGTTCCAGAGCCTAACAGCTTTAATGGAAAAGGATTTAGAATAGAAGGAAGTGTTATGAGATGGAATTTTTAGGGTGAGGTTTTTATCAGAGCGAAGAGAGCGACAGTGAGTGTCACCAAGAAACTCAAACCGCTCTTTAACACATACAGTGCCAATTACACGGCGCCGTGAAGGTGTGTGCGGCCGAACACACGGCGCCGTGGAGGGGTGCGTGGCCGGCTACACGGCGCCGTGGCTCGCGCCCGTACATTTTGCATGCGTTAGTATTCCGTCGGCTCTTGCGAAACGCACACGTTTTTTAGTTGGCCATACGCTCCAATTCAAGAACTTGCGAAAACCGTTTTCGGATTTTTATTTATGTGACCGGTTCTTATTATATGAGCCTTTGAAAATATACAATTTTCGTGCCAAAATGAGCGATAAGCCTGGGCCTTCAAAGCGCTCTAGTAAAACAAGTATACTGACTTCTCGTGCTAAAAAACGCCGCACAAATTTTTTTTCTGATGAAAGTGATTGCTCTAGTGATGAAGAAGTTTTCTCGCAGTGTAGTGATGGGGATAAGGAATGGGAAGAGGAAGAAGAGACGGAATCCAGTGATGAGAGCATTTTTGATTCGAGCAAGTCTTGCAAAAATAGACTTGCAGTGAGCCGTGACCCTTTAGAACTGTCACATAAATTACCCCCAAAAAATCAGGCGGGTAGCAATGAAGTGATGCCTTCCCGTCATATATCGACAGAAAAGGATAACCCTAACTCGCCGGATGTGATACAAGATTATGGCATGTATCCTGACATTCCTGACAATTTATTGGTAGACATTGATACAACACCATCTGTATCGTTACTAAGGTCATCGGCTCCTACTCCAAACTTGTCAATTCAGGAAATCCCCACACTTCGTAATGAAAACTTTGCCAGTTCCCCTACGCCGCCGACACTTTCCGCTAGACATGAACCTTCACAACCTGAGGACCAGCAGCCATCTCAACAAGGAGCCACTTCGTATTGGACTTCCGATGGTACATTGAAGATCATAGATTTTACTAAAACTCAAGAGTTATTAGTTCCAGCTCCATCAAATCCATATGAAGCATTTCGGTTACTTTTGGACGATGATTATTTGGATATGATTGTGCATGAAACTAACCTCAATGCAGTAAGAGTTTTAGGACAACCTGGTTTAACCGAAAAATCCAGAATAACTCACTGGAAAGATTTAGACCGCGAAGAATTAATTATATTTTTGGGTTTACTGCTTCACACAGGTACAATTCGCCTCAACAGACTCAGCGACTATTGGAAGAAGCATTGGTTATTCAATTTATCTTGTTTTAGTCAATATATGTCCCGGAACCGATTCATGCTAATCTTACGATGTCTACATTTTACATCAGAACCAAGCGATGAAGATAGGCTGGCTAAAATTCGTCCAGTTATGGACCATTTCAACAACACAATGAATGCTATTTATTATCCAGGAAAACAGCTTTCTTTGGATGAATCTATAGTGTTGTGGCGTGGTCGTCTAGTGTTTCGCCAGTTCATCAAAAATAAGAGACACAAGTATGGTGTTAAATTGTACGTTCTGGCTGAGCCTGATGGTACAGTAATAAAATTTCAGATATATGGTGGTGCAGGTGATGAGACTGCCGGAGTTGGACACACTCAAAAAGTTGTTCTGAAGTTGCTGGAAGAAAAACTAGATTCTGGTCACAGTGTTTACATGGATAATTATTACAATTCGTATGATTTAGCAGTAAAACTGTTGGATCGTCAAACTTATTGTACTGGTACCCTTGGTAAAACACGAAAAGGAAATCCTATCGAACTTGGCACAGTCACATTAAAAAAAGGAGAAAACAAATCTTTATTTTTGAATAACGTACACATCGGTAAATGGAGAGATAAGCGATATGTGCTTTATTTGACAACGGAGCACGAAAATGAAATGATTGAAGTTACGAATAAAAGAGGACAAATTACTGAAAAACCTTCAGCAATCGTGCACTACAACAACTTTATGTCAGGAGTTAATCTTCAGGATCAAATGCTGTCCTACTATCCCTGCGAGAGGAAGACTATGCGCTGGTATAAGAAGATATTTATACATACACTGCAAATGAGCCTAAGCAACTCATTATATTTATATAACAAGTTTTCTGCAACGAGTAAGATCAATTTGTATGATTACCGTCTTTCAATTTTGGAGAAGATGTTACCTAAACAAAATGTGTTAACGAAGACACTGGTCATGGAGCACAAACTAACCAAGATAGAAACGGTAAAGATACGTGAGAAAAAGGAAGGAAAGCGTACACGAACAATAAAAGAAGTAGTGAGGAAAGAGTGTAAGGGTTGCAGAGGAAAGAAAAAAAGAACAGCAACGCTCTTTGAATGTAAAGGTTGTCCAGACGCCCCAGGGTATTGTACTGAATGTTTTTGCGAAGCTCATTCATAAGTTTGATATATATGTACCCACTACTGCCATTTTTATAAGAGAACAGTAGGAGATTATTGATTTGTTTTTCCAGAGTTCTTTGGTTTATTTTTGATTTCTCTTCATCGTTTTCATCCCTTCTAGATTCAAGGTTGTCGCAGATTAATAATGTCATCACTTTCTTCGTCACTCCCGTAGTACACCTCGTAGAAATTTAATATATTATAAGTTTTCTGGGTATAAGAGTCCAAGCTGGCGATAATGAACGCAAACTAAGATGATCCTTATTTCTTGAAACTAGTGAGTCCTGGAGGGTTAGATTAGGCAAAGCAGATTTTAACAGTGACTCTGGTGAACCAGTAACAACATCTTCTGTTTTTTTTTTTTGTTAAAAAGATGATGGAATGATGATGGAAACATATTTCATCAGACCCGTAATCAGTTTTATGGCGTATAAACAAAGTACCCTTGAACGTAAATGTGGTACCTTTATTCGAAATGGCAGACATATGATCGTAATGTGCCTCAAAAACAGGTAATATTTGGATATTTTTTTATAGGATAGGGTGACAAACGAGCACACAGTCCACCTGATGGTAAGACTGTAGCCTTTGCGAATCAAAATGCAGATGCGTTGTCACCCGTGAGAACTAAGATGGAATGCCTCTTTTCTAGTAAAAAGGGTCTCCGGTTCTCTACACTCACCATACGAAACACAGCAACGTTAAACTGCTATTTTACGCTGGTATTCTGTGCGAGCGTGGTCCTTCCCCGGTCGAGCCGATCCATTCGTGCTACAACTATACTACTAATATAGTTGCAGCATGGCTCTACCACGTATAACATGCATTCTTGCAAACACGTAATTAATGATTCGCAATCAGAGACGTATCACTTAACTACTACTTGAGCATCTCCTGTTCTCTTGACGTATCTTCCCATGCCGTCTGGGGCGCCTTATCGCGATTTTTGTAGCATTCTCATCTTATAGCTAACTAAACAGTTTTCAAGTAGCAAAATCCTCTCTCTTCAATATTTCTTTTCAGCTCTTATTTTCCTTCGATTTTTCTCTGCAATCTGCTAGCCCATGTCATTTCTTAAAGATCTGGAGTTTTGCGGTCTGATTATAAAGGCGGTGTTTCATTTGTAAGTCTAATGTCAGTTTCTCTGAGTTCCTTTTCTTTTCACGGTATTTTCGAGTACATTCTTGCCGTTCTTTTCGTATTCGTTTTTGTATTTTTGAGTCAAATTGTTGATACCTTTATATAATATTTTACTAATCCCTACTCTTTCCTATTTTTGTAGTTTTCCCAACTAACCTACTATAGTATTGCTGCCTACGTCGATCCTTCTTCTCTTTGTCTGTCAACATCCTTTTAACCACCTATAGTGTAGTGGTAGTAGTAACTATAGTTTTGAAGATTTCGTGATTACTCCGTCAAAATGTGATTTAGTAGTATTTTAAAGTTTGATAGAATTTATGTCAGATCCTTGAACTATAACTAAATTTTGTCGTAAACTTTATATTATAAAATTAAATATAAATAACATTAATATATCCTATCAACGCTTAAATTTGGTAGAATTTTAATTAAAATATACGAATTAGATAGTTATTTTTACGTGTTTTATAAATTCATAACAGCTACTTCAACACAAAATATTAAACACACCTTTTTTCTCAAATTACGCGCCACACCTGGTGGAGACAACAATGGAGATAACGAACAAAATCGGCTTTGGATTTCTTATTATTTAATGTAATACTTGATTTGCACTGACAAGCGTTGTTTAACTGATTAATGCATAATAAACATAGGCGAATATGTTTATTATGCATTAATCAGTCCTAATGAAACAATAGGGCAACGGAACCCAAGGGGCCAGCAGCTGGCCGACTTCATGGAGAAAGAGGGACTCTTTATGATGAACTCTTTCTTCCAGAAGCGGCCCCACAGGAAGTGGACCTGGTCGAGCCCCGACGGTTCGACAAAAAATGAGATTGACTTCATTATGACGACCAGACGACAACTGTTCAGTGATGTCTCCGTGATCGCGAGGGTGAAAACTGGTAGCGATCACCGAATGGTTAGAGGCACACTGAACCTAAACGTTAAGTTGGAGAGGTCTCGTCTAATGAAGTCAACGCTCCGTCCCCCTCGTGCTCTGTTCCAAAGTCCCGAAACCTTTCAGCTCGAGTTACAAAATCGTTTTCAGTGCCTAGAAGACTGCAATGAAGTGGACGATATGAATGACAAGCTCGTGGAAACTGTCCATGCGGTCGGAGCTAAGTTCTGCAAGACTCGCCGCAGAAGAACACAAAAACTCTCCGATCACACTCTTAATCTCATGGCTGTTAGACGGGAGATGAAGCTACATTCAGCAACAGACTTGACAGCATACAGGCATCTGAACAGACAGATCTCCAAATGCATGCGGCGGGACTTACGCAACTTCAATACAGCTCGTATTGAAGAAGCGATCGAGCGGAACCAAGGCTCCAAAGTCTTTGCCAGAGATCTGTCTGCCAGAAAGAGCCACCTGTCAAAGCTGAAGACAGAATGTGGCAGCATCGTTTCCGGGACACCTGAGATTTTGAGTGAGATTGAGAGGTTCTATGGGCAGATGTACACGGCATCGTTGGAGCCACACGCAAGTGTGAGTAACGATCCAAGAGCGAGTCTCATCCGACACTATTCCGAAGATATCCCGGACGTCAGTCTGAGCGAGATTAGAATGGCTCTCCAGCACCTTAAAAACGGTAAGGCCCCAGGCGAGGATGGAATTACAGCGGAGCTTCTGAAAGCGGGTGGAAAACCGGTACTTGAAGTCCTTCAGAAGCTCTTTAATTCCGTCCTCCATGGTGGCATTACACCGGAGGCGTGGAGCAGAAGTGCGGTGGTCTTGTTCTTCAAGAAAGGTGACAACGCTCTCTTGAAGAACTACAGACCGATTTCCCTTCTGAGCCGCGTCTACGTGCTGTTTTCGAGAGTCATTACGAATCGTCTCGCGCGCAGACTTGACGACTTCCAGCCTCCCGAACAAGCCGGTTTCCGAAAAGGCTTTAGCACCATAGACCACATACATACCCTTCGGCAAATTGTACAGAAGTCCGAAGAGTACAATTTGCCACTATGTCTGGCGTATGTGGACTATGAGAAAGCCTTTGATTCCGTCGAAATTTGGGCGGTGCTGCAGTCCCTTCAGCGGTGCCAAGTTGACTATCGGTATATCGAAGTGTTGAAGTGCTTGTACAGTAGGGCTACGATGGCTATCCGAGTACAGAACCAGAGTACGAAACCTATCCAATTGCAGAGAGGTGTAAGACAGGGTGACGTCATATCCCCGAAACTCTTCACCGCTGCATTGGAAGACGTTTTCAAGCTTCTGGACTGGAAATGATACGCTATCAACATCAATGGCGAGTACATCACTCACCTTCGATTTGCCGACGATATAGTCCTTATGGCAGAATCGCTGGAGGACCTAAGCACTATGCTCAATGACCTCGATAGTGTTTCCCAACGGATAGGTCTTAAGATGAACATGGACAAAACAAAGATCATGTTCAATGTCCATGTCACACCTATGCCGGTAGTTGTTGGGAGCACTAAGCTCGAAGTTGTTGACGAGTATGTTTACCTGGGACAAATAGTCCGACTAGGTAAGTCCAACTTCGACCGAGAGGTCAATCGACGGATTCAACTCGGCTGGGCAGCGTTCGGGAAGCTACGACACATCTTCTCGTCAGACATACCTCAAAACCTGAAAACGAAATTGTACAACCAGTGCGTGTTGCCAGTGATGACTTATGGAACTGAGACGTGGTCCTTCACTGCTGGCCGTATGAGGAAGCTCAAGGTCGCTCAGCGAGCTATGGAGAGGGCTATGCTCGGAGTTTCTCTGCGTGATAAACTTAGAAATGAGGATATCCGCAGTAGAATCAGAGTAACCGACATAGCCCAACGGATTGGTGAGCTGAAGTGGCAGTGGGCCGGCCATATAGCTCGAAGAACCGACAACCGATGGGGAAGAAAGGTTCTCGAGTGGCAGCCTCGTACCGGTAGGCGAAGTGTAGGGCGTCCCCCCACGAGATGGAGTGACGACCTGGTAAGACATGCAGGAAGTCGATGGATGCAGGTGGCTCAGGACCGTGCTTTGTGGCATTTTTTGGGGGAGGCCTATGTTCAGCAGTGGACTTGTGAAGGGCTGTAATGATGATGATGATGAAACATAGGCGGTATAGTCACTTCGGTCGAGAGTCGTCATTTCTGTCGACAAAGTAGGCGACAGAATTGACTTCGACAGAAGTGACAAATTTTAATCTATTTAAGTTAACAGCTACAATTTCGAGGTAATGATATCTATTGTTGTTTCGAAACTACGTGAAACCTTTTTTCTACAAGGCTGTGTGTGGCGATTTATTTTATCATGTTAGTAACCTTTTATTTTTTCCTCTATGAAGTGACTCTTCAACTTTGACACACTTGTAGAACCTCTTTTCAATTTAAAATTTTCAGCAGCTTGCTTTTGTTCCATCAAAAAATGTGACTTATCACTGACAGGTATGCACTAATATTGCCATAAAAAGCAAAACAATGTTGAAATAATAAGCTTTCTGATTCCAGTATTCAAAACTTGACATGTCGACAGTTGTGACAAAAAATTTATAACGCTTGTAGAAACATCAATATTTTTTATAATTTTGTGACATAATTTTTAAAAGTCTTTTAATCTTATTGTTAAGGACAGGTATCATTTCAAAAATTATAAGTTTAGCTAGTAGCTTAAGAATTTCTATTTTTAAGTAGCCGTTAAACCTTCAGAGGGCGTCGGCGAACAGTCGACAGGCCATGACACGTCACGTATTGTCGACACGTTTTTATTCATTAAATCATCACTTATCTACAAAATAATGAATGTCAAATATAGATGGTGATGTCCCATTTAATATCACAGCAAATAACGAAGCAGGAAGTCGTATTCATGAAGTTACATTACGCGAACATAAATTTATCAGGTTCGTAGAATGACCCCGGTGGTAAATTATTCCACAGAGAGGTCGTACGCGGAAGAAAATTCCTAGTGAAACGTACAGTGGTGGATCTCCAAGCATCCAGATGGTGTGGATGGTATCGGGAGTTTTGCTACGATGTGCGTTCGTGAAATTTGGCGGCTGGGATTAATCCGAACAATTCCTCACAGCACTTCCCGTGGTAAATGCGAAATAAAATGCAAAGGGATGCAACATCTCTTCGCAGCGCCAGTGAATCGAGCCGATCGGTAATTACTCGGTCGTCGACGATTCGAGCCGCTCTGCGCTGGATGCGGTCAAGTGGAAGGAGCTGGCACTGGGGAGACCCAGCCCAGAGATGCGAACAGTATTCCATGTTAGGCCAAACCTGCGCCTTGTAGAGTTGCAGGCGGTGTACCGGCATGAAATACTATCCCGTTCTGATGAGCACGCTAAGCTTTTTAGAGGCCAATTTGGCCTTCTCTTCCAAGTGACAACGAAACTGCACTTCACTCGATATGTCGACGCCAAGGACTCCGATACTGGCTGAGGCAACAAAGGGAGTGCCTTCAAACTGAGAAGATACGACAAAGGGGTTCTTTTTAGCGGTAAACGCGCAAACTTGTACTTTCTGAGGATTAAACTGGACTAGATTTAGTCGCCTCCAATCCGAGACTTTGTTCAGCAAAGACTCGACTTCAGACACAAGCTTGTTCCGACACTCGGCGACATTTTCCCGAGAAATATTGGCACGGCCGGTGAAAAGAGCATCACCAGTGCTGTCATCCGCATAGCAATGAATGTTACCGCTGCGCATATCATTGATATGCAGAAGAAACAGCACGCAGCCTTGTGGAACACCGGCATTAATAGGCTTGAGTCGTAGCATGAACCATCTACAACGCTGCAAGAAAGCTGGTGATCCAGTTGCACAATTTCTCGGGAAGCCCATAGGAAGGGAGCTTCGAAAGAAGTGCTTTGTGCCAAACCCGATCTAAGGTCTTCGCAATGTCCAAACTAACGGCCAATGCCTCCCCCTTGAACTCTACTGCCTCCGCCCATCTATGTGTCATGTGGACCAGAAGATCACTAGCTGATCGACCCCGACGAAAACCGTATTGGCGGTCACTAATCAGCTGGTCATCCTCAATGTACCGCATGAGCTGGCAGTTTATAACAGATTCCATTATTTTGAAGAATAGGGAAGTGATGGCGATAGGCCTGTAGTTAGATGGGTCTAAGCGGTCACCTTTTGTAGGGATCGGGTGGACAAAAGCCGTCTTCCATGTTTTCGGGACTACGCCTAAGGAGTAGGAGTACTGGAAAAGACGCGTTAGAACTGGTGCCGACTCCGAAGCACACGTCCTCAGCACAATTGGGGGGATTCCGTCAGTCCCATTCGACGTCCAGGATGTCCAGGGAGAAGAGTGCTTTGCGTGCCGAGCGCTGTGAGAACCGCACATTCGGCATGGACATTCGGGGGGACCATGGCATGGCATGGCCCCCCCCCCGTCATCGAGAGCAAGTTGGACGCAAAGAAAGAGTCTAGCAGATCGGCTTTCTCTTTTGCGGCATGGGCCAGTGAGTCGTCCTCCCTATGCAGAAGGAAGGAAGAGATGGCTGTGTGAAGTTCCCTTGGACAGCCTTGGCGAGAGACCAGAATGCACGGGGTCCCGAAGGAAGGCGAACTAGTTTCTCGCCAATTCTGCCTATGTGCTCTGACTTTGCCTTGGCAATGATTCTTTGGACCTGGAAAGGACCTGGAGGTGGAATTATACTTCTTTTTAAGGGCGCTGGTGTTTGAAACAGGAAATGGGCAATAGCACCTTCCTAATAACAACTCAAAATTATAAAACCAACTGCCAACCCGCCTGCCAAGCGTGGCAACTATGACAAATATCCCCCCTATGTAGCGATCTATAGGGGAGGCTTTGTTCAGTTGTGGACTTTAATTTCTAAAATTCGTACTATGTGAATATAAGTTATTTTATTGTATAATTATAGAATTTATTAGTTGATTACAGTACTATCTATCGGATCCTAGCATAGCTATGAAGATGTTCACAAAAAAAAACAAATACATTGCGTAATTAGGTGACCTCAATCGGTCAAGTCGTTCAGAAGTTGCACGACCACTTACAGACACACCAACGATCATAGAGATGAACATCCTTACTTAATAGCTAACTGGTGATGAATCTCCGTCAAAGCCAAAAATACTATGACAAAAAGACTAAGGAAAAAGACTAAGGCAAAAAGACTTGGGCAAAAAACTATATTACACATTAAAAAAAAACTAGTAAAGATTATAGTTACCTGTAGCAGAAAGTCGTTGTACATCAGTCTGGTGTGCTCGTCGAGTACCTTGAACTAAAACACCATTCTAAAGGACCTGACTTTCTAATCTTACATGCAACTAGGTTTGATATTCACCTGCAGTAATAGATTGTTGGAGAGTAGCCTGGCCTGGTGTTCCTGCGCCTTGGCTCGTAAGCACGCGATGCTGTTGTTGCGGAAAGCCTCGGGATCTTCGTATAGCTCCCGTCCAGGTTCAGGAGAAGCGCGGCCCTTCGCTGACGAGGACGCCGTGGTACTGCTGCCTGGCGAACTTTGCGCCTGGAAGTCGGACAGGAAAACGTTATTACTTTGGGAAATCTATCATCACTGCTGAACATGGGCCCCCCACGAGGAATACCACAAAAATGGGAAATCTATAGATAGGTACGTATAAATAAAATATATCAAAATAACTGCCTTTAAGACATGAATAGACATTTGTAAAATTATTGTCTGTCTGTCCGAGCCTTCGGAATGGCTTAACCGATTGCGATGAAATTTCACGAACACAGAGAGAGCAAAGCTAGGTGTGACCCAAGGTTTATGTTAATCCAAAAATCTTGCTAGTTTTTGAGAAACCGAAAAATTGATAAAATATATCATCTTTGATGATTATCTTAAATCTAAATAACGCAACGTTAATAAACCCTACCCAGGCAAAGCCGGGGTGGGTCGCTAGTAAAAAATAATGTCGCCCTTTCAAAGACCTACGACAAAATATATTTTTTTATAGAATAAGGGTGACAAACGAGCACGCAGTCCACCTGATGGTAAGTGGTTGCTGTGGCCCATAGACATCTACATCTATCTTCGTTTGCGAATCAAAATGCAGATGCGTTGTCATCCGTGAGGACTAAGGTAGAATGCCTCTTTTCCATTAAAAAGGGGTCTCCGGTTCTTTACACTCACCATACGAAACAGAATATCAGCGTAAAATAGCAGCTTAAAGCTGCTATTTTACGCTGGTATTCTGTGAGAGCGTGGTCCTTCCTCGGTCGAGCCGACCCATTCGTGTTACAACTAAACTGTCTGATTAAATTCAAGGTGAATTAGAGGAGAGACAACCATAACCAGAACCGCAGTGGAACGTCTACTGGTTATTATTTAACTTATTTTTATTCATGAACAAAGATTAGATTGAATTATAACTTGGTAGCATCATGAGGAAATAAAAAATTACCTGTCTTAGAAATTTGATAAAGTTATTTTCAACAACACGCATTAAGATAACGTGGTGCACACTTTTCCATTTGTTTTTAGAATAAGGGTGTCAAACGAGCACACAGCCTGCCCGATGGTAAGGGCCATAGACATCTACATCTATTCTCGATTAAGAATCATTTCAGATGCGTTGTCATCCCTGAGAACTAAGATTTTATTCGTGGTAGAACGACGCTGCAGTTATATTATGGTTATAGCACGAATGGGTTGGCTCGATTGTGGTAGTACCACGCTCTCAGAGAGTACCAGCGACAGATTACCCCCTAATCTGTTAAATGAATCCAGTGAAAGTGGCAGCTTAACCCTGTTGTGTTTCGTATGGTGGGTATGGAGAACTTTAGACCCTTTTTACTGGAAACGCGAGGCATTTCATCTTAGTCCGCAGGGGTGACAACGAATCTGCGTATCGATTCATAATCGCTCGTGTGCACACACACTGTGTGCTCGTTTGTCACCTATGTTCTATTAAAAAAAAGAACGTTGTAAGAGAAGACGTGATGGGGCAACTGACCTGGTTGTCGTGAGGCTCGTGTCGGTGCGGCGAGGTGGAGTGCGGGCGCTCCGCCTCCGCCTCGGAGCCCTCGCGCTCCGACCCCGACTCCTTCAGGTGTTGCGCCGCCTCCAACGACTTGCGGTGCATGCCTGAACATTGAAATACAATAATATTAGATGTGTCAAGGTCTTTGTTTGACTGAACATGATATATATACATATAAATAAAATTGAAGTGTCAGTCTGCAATATTGAAATAACTACTTCTGTAAAGCCGGAATGGCCGAGCTGATTGTAATGAAACTTTACTAACAGATAGAGATCAATGCCACGAGGGATATATGCTACTCTTGGGGGCAATGCATCTGCATTTTTATTCTTAATCGAGAATAGATGTAGATAATGATTACTTATATTTACGCGAATACTAAATGAAACTAATTTTACGGATTTTATCGCGTTTATTTTTAATTCCCAACGTATCGTGTGCTTTACAACATCTCAGCCCCCCCTGTGGCCATGGGTGCTAGTTTAATTCAGATGCAGATGTCTATGGTTCACAGCATTCACTTACCATCAGGTAGTCAGTGCGCTCGTTTGTTACCCATAAACATAAGATCTCATACTAAAATGAACAGAGTAGAATATAAGCGATAATGTGTAAAAGTTTTTGTATTTGTGTCCATGTTTTAGCACAGAAACTTATCGCTTTGAGGAAAACGATAACAAAGTGAGTTACATTTTAATTAGGTAGAAACATACATATTAAGTGATATTCTATTTACTTATTCCCCTGCCTACTATAAATCGTATCGCGAATGTACCGGGTATCCCAGCGCACCTCAAGTCGACTCCATAATTTATTAACTTGAGGTCTTGAACAAGGCTTGGCGCACACGTAATAAAGTCGGCCCCAAGCGGCGCAGGTTTATAGCGCGAGGTTCGAGGACTCCGCTCGTAAAACATCGGATATGATAATGAATGGTGGGGGGGGGGGGAAGGTCACATTCGCGCATAATCAACACGTAACTTCAACGCTCTTATCACTCAAGCCGAAATAGAAGGAGTTATAACGCCATATCATTGACGAAACGGAAGAGAGTAGGTATAGCCCTTGAATACGTCAGCAGTGCATTTATTTCAGTTATAGTTAAGCAAACAGTCTTTTTTTATAGAATAGAATAAGGGTGCCAAACGAGCACACAGCTAGTGTTTAAATTTCGCGGATTTTATCGCGTTTAATTTAACTAAGCTTTCAAAGTTACATTCAGCTTTTCTGCCGACTTCCAAAAAGGAGACGGTACTCAATTCGACTGTATTTTTTTTGTTTTTTTTTAATGTATGTTATCTCATAACTTTTTACTGGATGAACCGATTTCGATGATTCTTTTTTTATATGAAAGTTGATACATCTCGTGTGGTCCCATATGAATTTAATCAAGGTCAGACCAATAGTTTTAGAGTTATTCTTAATAACTTATATTGAAGTCGGCTGCACAAAATTTTTAATTATTTTGAAATCTCAAAAGCTGGTTAGGTAAAACAAGAAGGCGCTGTCACCGTACTATATTGTTATAATGTATCTAGGTATGTGTGTGTGTGTGTGAAATTGTTAGTTTGAGTTTTTTCGTAGATGATTGTTTTGTATACGCAGATCCGCGCAGAACCCCGCAAAAATGGCAGACACTTCTGTATCGGGGAAAAATGCTATGGCTACTCCCCTCTCTTCCACCAGTGGCCCGTGTTGCTCTATGACTGATTGGTTTGAAGGTGATATTTTGTATTCGACATAAAATTCTAAATTTAAATTAATGTTATGATATTGCTTTGAAAATAAGTTTTCCCGCCGTTTTGCTTTTGTCTTCGATATTATTGTGACTGCTTTATTTTAATTAATTTACTGTGTTGCTGGTTACAAAACCTGTTCATATTTATGGAAAGGCTTGTTAAAAGATAAAGCCAGATACGAAATAATTTTTAAACTGTAATGTGTTGACAATTTGAAGATATTGCTGGTCGAAAATCTAGTTTAATATATCATAATCTAACATGTACATTGCTAGAACGAGTGAATTAACTGTCACACAACGTACGTGAAACGGAACACATTAAATTATTTATGTGGCTGATCCACCGGACATTGATAAACGTATTTATTAACAGACTTCAAAAACGAGGAGATTCCTCAATTCGAGTGTCTTCTTTTTCGTATGTACTTTGTGTAACAATTTTGACGATTTTTTTATTAAATAGGTTTACCTCAAGCGTGGTCCCATATTAATTTGGAGAAAAAATCCACCCCTAAGGGTAATAATATAATCAAATAAATAAGTTCTTTATTTAGCCCTTTGAAGTCGGCGTTTCCTTTTTGTTAAAAGTTATATTTATACAGTCTAAGTCGTGGCACCTTGTTCATTTTCGCCAAGAATCATTGCGGGATCTAGCCTTCTGCGCAAAGTTTGACGCCTGCATAAACTCCGTTCGATTTGTGCCACTCGAATTGTAAATAAATAGTTGTGATGGTTAAGCTATCTATGGTACAGCCTATCATAGCCCACTGCAGGACATAGGCCTCCCATAGTAGCTCATATTATTATTACCTTCGACTCTGATAGGTTAAGCTGAAGTCAAAATCACCGAGAAATTTCGCGAGTTGACATATCAACATGTGAAGAATAAGTATCTATAGTAAACATATTTGGGTAATAAATTACAGTTGTTTCTTTTTGGCTTAAGGCCTTGTAGCCAATGCATTAGTATTTAAACTAAAGATATATAAATGAAGGTATGAAAATGAAATGTATTCTTGAATCATAACTACTTATTTATGCAGAGGCGAGCATCGAATGTCGCGGCAGAGACAGCGAGTGATCTTAATATCCCACGAAATTGTCTTTTTACGAGATTTTTACAGTCTCCGTGCACTTTACACTGAATGTCTAATCACAGCGCGTGCTTTATAGTCTGTGGTGAGTCGTGTCGTAGAAACTAAAGATTACCTACCTATTATTTTTAAGTACTTATATAAAAAAAGAAAAAAAATTTTGTACTGTAGAGCCACAATCGAGCGCGCACAGTTCATCTGATGGTAAGTGGATGCTGTGGCCCATTATACCTACCTATTTAATGTTTTTGCAACGCCTGTAAAATATTAATAAGTAATAAGAACCAGTTTTAATATATGTTATGACCTTATTGTACACTTAATGAACAAATAAATATTTAAATCCTAGGAATTACATGTCTAGATGAGAGTTAACGAGAGAAATGAAGTTTCAGTGCAAGTGTAAGTCCGAGCGATCGTCAGACCAGGCAGGGTCTAATGGGCTGATTTGTCTGGACGCCACATTAGTGCAACTTTATCCATTAGGAAGGAGGGAATCGCGTTGATTTAGGTGCGGGGGTGTCGCTGCTTCTAAACAACTCAGTTTGATTAATTGATGTGTGAAACGTAGCTTCTAATATACGACTGTTAGGAGTAACTCGACTACGTCATTTCAAAACCTAGTAACTGTATAAAATTGGATTGAAATGAAATATATTTATTTTTTTGACGTAAGAAAATAAATTTCGTTTGTCTAATGCCATTATTTTAAGCCTACTAAATCTATTTTGACCGTTTTGAAATGAGCCAGTTCTTAACCATATTAATGTTAAACCTATTAAATCTTTTACAACCATTTCAAAATTAGCCATCCCCTCCATTGACCATATTAAAAGTAAGTGGACGACCTGCAACTCGACGCTTCTGTAAACAGAGACCTTAAAGCGATCATTACATACTCAAGTCCGTCACACACTGAGATGTATCTTGAAAAACAAAACAACTACTTTTTACGTGGTAGAGCCATGCTGCAGCTATATTATAGTTGTAGCACGATTGGGTTGGCTCGACCGGGGAAGGACCACGCTCTCACAGAATACCAGCGTAAAATAGCAGCTTAACGCTGCTGTGTTTCGTATGGTGAGTGTTGAGAACCGGAGACCCTTTTTACTGGAAACGAGGCATTCCATCTTAGTCCTCGCGGGTGACAACGCATCTGCATCTTGATTCTAAATCGAAGATAGATGTAGATGTCTATGGGCCACAGTAACCACTTACCATCAGGTGGACTGTGTGCTCGTTTGTCACCCTCATCCTATAAAAAAACTAAGGGAGTTTACTTAACACACTTGTAATTTCTCATGGGATCACTTACAATTCTCTCCTAAAAAAACATCTATGTAGGAAATAGTCGAATCGAAATAATATAATAATTTCTTACGTTTACCGTTACAGCCTATTAAAGTCCACTGCTGAACATAGTAGACCTCTCCCATAGATTGCCTCATAGGCGGGATATTTACCATAGCTGCCAAGCTTGGAGTATTTTATTCTTTACCTGTTATTAGGAAAATGGTGCTGCCCATCTCCAGGTTTGTTTCCGTCTGTCGCCTCTTACGACAACCACGGGATGATATTGGGTTGGATATTCTTAATATTATTGCTATTTGGTTTAATGTTTTCGTAACTTTAATATAAATAGTAAGTTATTGACTGTGTAATTCAAACATTGGCAAAACACTAGAAATGTAGACATCTAATTCGCTCTTGTAACAATTTTAGTAAAGAAGTGGATGGCTAAATCAAAGGTATACTTTTAAAGAGGCACACTGTATCACTTCCGCTACTATCCTGTTAAGTTACCAAAGAGTCACTTTTCCCATCAAAGTTGGCAAGTGTCATCGAGTGGTATTCATTTTGAAAGAATGCACCAGTAAGAGCATATCGTCCGATAGCACGGTCGCGTAGTACTCCCGCGGATCTAGCAATTTCTCACTCGCAATAATGTGGTATCACTTGGCGAGATGAAAGCGTTACACACAAAGCGAGTGCATAATAGGCAGATAATTCAGCAAGATGTGCTTGTAGTGCATTACGATCCATTTGCGGGAGCTTTGATGTGGTTAACTGATGCTGGGCGGCGCCGGCGATACTCCAGCGGCTCGAGTGACAAACGTAAAAGGAAGTACTTGTAGAAGATAATTAAAGTATTTAATGTAGTGGAGATGAGTGATTGCGAGTGTGATGTAGTTGGACGCCGTGAATATGCGGTCTCATAGTGGCTCACGTGTTGCGATTCAGTCAAAGTCGAAGTCGAAGTGTTTTT